GACATCCTAAAATATATAAAAGGGTGACTTAAAAGCTCTGAAGTACTCCATACTCACAAAGATCAAAGCTTTGGGACAAAAAGTACCAACATGTAAGGCTAAGCAAGACCACCACCACTTGAATGTTCTTCCTTCTAACACAAAACACTCAATAATCACTTTCCAAGCTTCAAAACTCTCATATACAAGCTAGGGTTCGATTTAGGGTTTGGAGGATATGTAGGCTGGTCATGGGAAGGTCCAAGAGTATATAGAGGTTGGTCATGAGAAGGTCCACGAGTACGCCCGACGTACACATATGTACGCCCAACGTACTTAAATATTGACCCTCCCAAAGATGTTGAATTATGTCTGACGTACACCTTTGTACGCCCCGTGTAAGGGACTTTTATGCAAACTTTTTAAAACATAAGGATTGAAAGAGGAAATTACCTGGCAACGGGTGTTACACGTGCATTATAAATGTATAAACTCATAAAATTATGTCATTTATGTTATTGTCAAGAAAATGAAAGGGTTATGCAATTTTGTTTTCTTTTGATGATGTGTACTTTAATATTGAGAAAGTTAGAGTTTTCGTTGATGTGTACATTGACTTACCTTGAGGCTATTTTATGTTGTGAAATAACAAGTCTACCCTTAAGACCGTATGTGTAATCAAAATAATTAGTATCTTCATATTCTACCCACTGAATCAAAATTTTCGAAATCTAAATCTTCGGTGGTTTCGTTTTCCTGAACCAACTGGAGACTTTATACCTCTCCAAGGTCCAGAAGACGAAATGAGTGAAGGAACTTGGTTGGAACAACTCCTTGCACCAAAGGTCACCTTCTTCTTAAGAACACACCAAAAAACACACAATTGAGCTTGATCACAAAGCACCAACATGGTTAAGGTTAGGGCGATGGACGTTTTCTAAGAGTGGAGGATGCTAAATGAGGCAAACCCTAGGGGTTAGAGCCTTTTAATAGGGTCCAAAGGCCAAAAATCAGGGTTTCATCCATCAGTTAGGTCGTTGCGTGCACAATAGATGTCACAATGTAACCTTCACTTAAGACATCACATCGTGACCACCTCAAGGCCGCGCCGTGAACTGAAAAATTCCACAATTAAATGTCATAAATGAAGCACATATCGGAAAAAATGACGATGGTTGCATCATCGGTGGTTTGTGATGCCTGAAGAGAACAAGGAATGTGAAGAGATTGGTAGTCGGAGAGAGGGTATTTAAGAGTGAAGCATTTTGGGAGTGAGATGGTGCAAATAATTTCTTAAATAACATCTTTCAAAAAAACAATGGCATTTTTATCATCTCATATATACTTAAAAGAAGCTTGTTAAACGGTAATGGTCCTAAAAACCACCAGTGATACCATATGTACTTAAAAGAAGTTTGTTAAACGGTAACGGTCCTAGAAACCATTAGTGATACCAAAACCCTCCTCCGTATGGACCACCCATGATTAAATCCCGTGATTAAATCCCAGGACCAAAAGTGTTATTTTGGGAAAACCACATGACCAAAACTGTAGTTTACTCTAGATTTTACGCCTACGTGTACCTCAAATCAGTTGTCACGTGACTAACACGGGTCTGAGAAATTAGGAGTCAAATCTGTTTCGTCACACGGCGGCACGGCCGGTTCTTTCCGCACCTTTCTCTATACATATCGACGATTTTGTGATTAGGGTTAGCAGTAACTGGTATAGTCAGCACTCAGCACAATTTGATTCTTTCTCCGGGAAGCTACTTTCATCAATGTATCTCTCATCTGAGAAACCTCGTTCAATCGACTTCTACAAGGAAGTCGCCGGAGGAGGCGATAGGAACATGCTAATTGAACCAGAACAGACACCACACAACCACCACCAGCAACAGCAACAGCAACAGCTGATGATTATGGCTGACAACAACAATAACACCAGTAGTGGCGAAGATCACGAATTGAGGGCTCCGAAGAAAAGAGCCGAGACTTGGGTACAGGAAGAGACTCGGATCCTGATCAGCCTCCGTCGTGAAGTGGATCGGTTTTTCAACACTTCGAAGTCGAATAAACATCTGTGGGAACAGATCTCGTCGAAGATGAGGGACAAGGGTTTTGATCGTTCGCCGACTATGTGTACCGATAAATGGAGGAATTTGCTCAAGGAGTTCAAGAAGGTGAAGCATAAAAACAGTAAAGGAAGTAGTGGTAGTACTAAGATGCTGTATTATAAGGATCTGGAGGAGTTGATTAGAGACAGGGCCAAAGATGGAACTTATAAGGCCGCATCTCCTACTTCATCCAAGCTCGATTCATTCATCCAATTCTCAGATAAAGGTCGATCCTCCTCTTATCCGCCTTTCATTTATGAAATTGCTTGAGAATTCTGCAAGAGCCTACCACCAGACGACGTTACCCCCAAAATGCTTCTACTCCTGTTATCACTCTCTGTCTATAGAATATTCTTATTACTTGTCAATTTTTGATACACATTGAAGTTCAAAAAGCACATTCTTGATTCTTGAACACTGCATACTTGCACATCTTAGGGTGAAAGAAATGACTAAAAGTATGGTTGCTTGACTGCTTACAGGGCTAGATGATGGGAGTATTCCGTTTGGACCCATGGAAGGTAAATTTCTGTCGGTTGATTTGAAGATGAAACTAGTATTCTTTTATTTCATTATTATAAAAAACTGTAGTATTTGGTTTTGGTGTTCAGCTAATGGCCGATCAACAGTCAATCTTGAAAGAGCTTTGGATAATGACGGAGATCCCCTTGCCATCACTACAGCAGAAGCAGTTGCTGGAAATGGAGTCCCCCCATGGAACTGGAGAGACACCCCTGGGAATGGTATGCAGCCTTAACTTTCTTTCACACCAATAGTAGCTCCTAAAAATGCCCAATCTATTTGTTGTATATTTGATGCAGGCGGTGAAGGTCAATCTTGTTATGGGAGGATCATAACAGTGAAATGGGGAGAATACACTAGAAGATTTGGTATAGATGGATCAGCAAAATCTATAAAAGAAGCAATAAAATCAGCGTTTGGGATAAGGTCAAAACGGGCATTTTGGTTGGAAGATGAAGATGGTGTGATTCGTGCACTAGACAGGACAATGCCTGTAGGGAATTATAATCTCCACCTAGACGAAGGTAGGTACTCTACTCTCTGCAAATTTATTATTATCTTATTTGTTATATGATGATGATGATGATGATAATGATGATGCACATGACAGGGGTGTCTATAAAAATCTGCCATTATGATGAGTCTGAAAGAATAGCTGTGCGTACTGAAGATAAGACGTTTTATACAGAGGAGGATTTGCATGAGTTTCTGAGTGGGCGTGGTCTGTCTGGATTAAGAGAGATAAATGGGTACAGAAGCTTTAACAATGTCGATGATTTACGCCTTGGTGCTGTTTACCAAGGGGTCCGACTCCTTGGAGGAGACTAGAATTAGATATTTCCTTTATTTCTTAATGCATCATCATGTAATAATATTCTAAATATTCCATGTAAAAATTGACCAAACAAATCAATTAAAATACGTCATTATTTATTTAGTTATTGTTTTACCAATAGTATTTATTGCCACGTTATTATTATTTTTTTTCACAATTCACACATCGTTGTTTTTTATTTACTGATATAGCTTCATACTTCCGAAGCCGTCAACATTGGTAAAACCTCTCTATTCTCGACATCTTACTTCTTCTTGTGCGATGCATTCTATCACGTAACGACAACATGCATCGTGATACTTTTTAGGCATATCGGATTAGGGCCGACAATTCTCGACACGACCCGCAACACGACCCACAACACGACACGAAATAAATGGGTTTGAGTTGAGTTTTTCAACCTGCCAACCTGCTAACCTGCCAACCCACCAACCCGTTTATTAAACGGGTCATATATGGGTTTCTCAAAGAATAAACGGGTTGACCCGCCAACCCGTTTATATTTCTAATAAAAAATTTATTTTATTTTTAAATGTATTTATGTATCAAGTATTAATATTTAATAAGTATTATATAATATATACCATTGATTCATAGACCATTTGATTGTTTTGACATTTTGACTCGTGGTGAATGGCCTAAGGTCGTAAGTCGTAACCTATAAGGCTAAGTCTCTAACATATTTCTATGAATGTTTTTAATTTTAATTTGGATGTTTAAGACTTAAATATCTAAAATTCGGATATGTTTGCATCAACCATCAAGAATTTATTCATGTTTAATTGTTAATTTTATTTATGGAATCTGACCTACAAACCCGCCAACCTGTGAACCCGTATAAATAAATGGGTTGGCGGGTCATATATGAGTTTATGTTCCAAACCCACCAACTTGTGACCCGTATATTTAAATTGGTCGTGTTTGGGTTGGCATATTTTGACACGCCAACCCACCAACCCGTGACACGCCAACCAGAACACAACACGATTGTCAGGCCTATATCGGGTGAAATATTTATTCTTGAGAGGAGATGGCTTGGGTGAGCTTCATGCGTGATTTCTTTAGGTAGGAATGCAGAATTTGTATCTACATAGTAATTACACCTCATGCATACATATGCAAAACTGTTGCACTGTAAAGAGCAAACATGACAAGTATACACAGTTGAGAACGTCATATGGGTTTTTAATAGAAGAAAAAGTGTGTGCTCTGGATGCCCGGGATGGTGTTTTACATTTGAGGGTAGCATGGCGCACCACTCATGAAGAACATAATCACAATGTAGAATATCTTGGGAACACATATACAATGTCATTGTTGTGATTGGCTTCACACATCCATCACATAATAGTTGAAATTTCTTCATGGGGTTGTGAAGAAAAACCGATTTGCTATCGAGGGACATTTAAGTGTCTGAAAAAACTAATTGGTGTTGATGACTAAAATGATTAAGCATTTTGCCATGGTTTTCTTTAATTGTAAATTCTTTGTGACTGGAAATATGATGCTTTATGAGGTTGTAACTTTCATAAGGAAATGGACAATGAACTAGATTAGGATGATCATCATCTTTGAAACTTTGTAAAGTCTTAGCATGGTGTATCTTTGAAGTTGCACAATCACAATGAACATAGTATTGACATTTATCACATTTGTATATCCAAAAGCAAATAAACAATCCCATGCTACAGACTCTATAGTTGGGGTAGAACTTATTTTCTCTATCAATTTGGGGAAATGAATAGGCACGGGTAAGCGGATGAGAATGAGTGAATGTGCCATTAGTTTTTGATGTTGAATGAGTAACTTGGCAGGCAACAAAGCACGATCCTGATGGATCCAAAACCAAGAACAAACATTACAATGGTAGAAGGTCCCTTCATGTTCAAGACCACAAGCATTGCCACGAGATACCAACTTCTTGGACATACGCTCCAATTTGTGATCAGGGTGGCTTGGGTGGTCCATTGTGTTGAGATATAGTAGCACATGTTATGTCCATATTGAATTTGCACACGGAACAATGGTAATTACAAAAGTACTTCCACTTAAGATTACAGATACAACATGTCAATTCATGATCAAAATCATAAACGGGATTGGAATCCTGAAAACTTTTAGACAAGGTAAGATTATGGTTAGGATGCAATGGGTGCTTTCGTAGGATGTTAGGCAGTTCTGCACAAAATTTGTGCAATGAGTAGTCACAATCCTTGCAATAGTAGTAACACAAATGAAATGAATAGATATGTTCCTTACACATGTTGCATTGTCCAACATGGTTATCTTTAACCACAAAATCGTTTTCATGTGCGCCTTCATCTTCATCTTCCTCATCAGAAGTTTCATTGTTGTGGTTCGATTGTAGATAGACAAGAATGAGTGGATGCATGTGACTGAAGTGCACAAGCTGCTCCATTGAATCTATATGGATGAAATGTATAGGTCGTAGCTAACAAATATATATAACTAATCATAAAAAAATAAATCAATCACTTAATGGGATCTTAAGATCTCAACTTTATCAAGTAAAGACTACATCTACATGATCAAGAATCTTAACTTCTAATTTATAGTCAAGTTCATGGCTTCAAAATCGAAAATAATTTAAAATGAAAAAACCTAACTAAAATATTGATGGGTTTTAGGTACAACAAATAAACTAGAAAACAATTCCTAAGTTCACATGCAACCTACTTTGGATCTATGTTTTAACTATTGAACATACAACTTTGAATTGCAAAACAAGAACCCTAGAGGAGAGAGGCTATTATCGAAAATAGTAAACTAGGGTTTAGGGTTTACATACCTTTCAATTGTTATAGCAAACAATTGACAATCCTCTTGATCTTGATCTTCTTGGAAGCTTTAGCACCACAAGTGTAATGCCTCTAATGGAATCACACCCAAACTAGCAAGAAGGAAAGTATAAGAGAGAGAGAGGGAAGAGGGAGTATGCAAAATCTCGGCCTTAGGGTTTCTTCAAAAGAAAGAGTGACCAAAAACATGAACCAGGAGGCTCCTTATATAGCTGAGGGATCTAGGGTTTAAGGGAAACCCTAGTTATCCTTTGCTTAGGGCCTAAGCAAACCCAAGGGCCTTATCCAAGCCCCTATGGACGAAATTATTAGGGTTTCCCCTAAAGATTTCGTCCACCCTCTTCCAAGGGGGTTCTAGAGCCTTCCACTCAACTATTAGATAATTGCAAACTAGTCCCTGCACCTTATAATTAATTCTTTTAATCCCAAAATCAATTCTGATTAATTTCTTGCTAACAATTAATTAAACATAATGATTTCTAATTAATATATTAATCCAATAACATATTAATAAATCATTTATATATATATATATATATATTAATTTATTAATCTTATAAATTAATATCTCTCCTTTCATAATTTCCTTGTCCAGTTGCTAGGTTGAGGGCAACCAAAAGGACTGTGCTGCTATCAATTCAAGTACATACCAATTATAGTTATGGGCTTAGACACCTAATCCAACAGTCTCCCACTTGGATAAGTCTGTAACTATAATTGCTAGTATGCCTTCTAAATTTGACCAGCAAATTGTAGCTTCCAAAAGCTGCTGCCGAACTCTGACCCAGTCAGTTACGTGTCCTAAGATAAGTGATCATATAATCCTTCGTTCTGCTAGATATCCCAGACAAAGACATGGAATGTAATCAATCTCTTTGTCCAGAATCTATGTTTCCCGATTCCTGATTTGTGATGATGTAGGACTTCTAATTGAACACATCAATTTAGTCCTGGCTGGGCCCAGCACATAAGTCAACACCAAATCATCGAGGGGCCCACAGATATCGCTTTTCTTGTTAGGGAAAAAGGAACGAATAAACGTTGACTCATATGCTTGTATCTTTTACTCATCAAATTATACATGACAATACGTTTTATAACACCAAGTTACTGATGCGTTTTCGCATCACCAATGCATAACCGACTTGTAAATTACAACTCATATATCTTTGTTTCAAGATTATAAGATATTATCGTCTCAGTATTACTCGTGATGAATTCCATGAAGTAATACTCTGAGCGAGGGTTTATCCAATACTCAAATCTCAATTTCTGAGTACTCATGAACATTGCAGCAATTCTATTGCCATGTCTATCCTTAGACAATCTGCAATCCAATTCATGACAGTCTTAATTCACTACTTACTTCCAAGAGTACGAGCGACTGTGGAGTTTGAATAATCTCATTATCAGGAAGTAAAACATGCAAAAATGAAACACAATAATAAACAATTGACAAAGGTAGTAGCCAAACTTATAAATAATACTTTATTATTTAATCACCAAAAGTCAATTACATTTACTTTGTTACAAGTTTCAAAAACTAATCTAACTACTAAAACTAATATCATCTTTCAGTCCTATGCTCCGAGCATGCTGAATATGCTTAGCCCTACTCAGACCCTTTGTGAGGGGATCTGCTGGGTTATCTTCAGATGACACCCTCTTTACTATAAGATGGCCTTCTTCACTCTATGTCTGATGAAATGGTACTTTCTGTCGATATGTCTGGTCTTACCATGATCTCTCGGTTCCTTTGTCAAGGCAACCGCTCCTTCATTATCGCAGAACAGTTCCATAGGCTCCTGGATGGTTGGAACAACTCCGAGATCCCCGATGAAGTTCCTCAACCAAGCTGCTTCTTTCGACGCTTCACTTGCTGCTATGTACTCTGATTCACAAGTAGAATCAGCCACCGTATTTTGCTTGGAACTCTTCCAAGTAACTGCTCCTCCATTCAGTAAAAATACCCAGCCCGACTGAGAACGGAAGTTATCTCTATCCGTCTGAAAGCTGGCATCACTGTAACCATCTACTCTCAAAGTATCACTGCCACCAAGCACAAGGACCCAGTCCTTTGTCCTTCGCAAATACTTGAGTATATTCTTAACTGCTATCCAATGAGCTCTACCTGGGTTTCCCTGATAGCGACTGACCATGCTCAAAGCAAATGCCACATCAGGGCGAGTACATGTCATAGCGTACATGATCGATCCGACAGCGGAAGCATAAGGTACACGACTCATGTCATCTATTTCAACATCTGTACTCGGGCATTGAGTCTTACTCAATTTGGTATTGCTCTGGATAGGTAGCTCTCCCTTCTTGGAATTTTCCATACTAAACCTCTTTAGTACCTTATCCAAGTATGTGCTCTGACTAAGTCCAATTAGTCTCTTCTTTCTATCTCTCAATATTCTAATCCCAAGAATATAGGCAGCTTCTCCAAGGTCTTTCATGGCAAAACACTTTCCAAGCCAAGACTTAACTTCTTTCAAGGTTGGAACGTCGTTACCAATGAGTAATATGTCATCGACATACAACACCAGAAAAGTTACTATACTCCCACTAGCCTTGATATACACACAAAACTCATCTTCACTTCTAGAGAAACCAAACTCTTTGACTTTCTCATGGAAGCAAAGATTCCAACTGCGAGATGCTTGTTTCAATCCATAAATGGATTTCTCAAGCTTGCACACTCTATTGGGGAACTTCGCATCAACAAAACCCTCTGGCTGACTCATGTAAACATCTTCAGCCAACTTCCCATTAAGGAAAGCAGTTTTGACATCCATCTGCTAGATTTCATAATCATGAAAGGCAGCTATGGCGAGCAATATCCTAATAGATTTAATCTTAGCCACTGGCGAGAAGGTCTCATCATAGTCAACCCCTGGGGTTTGAGTGAAACCTTTTGCAACCAGTCGAGCCTTGAATGTGTGCACATTTCCATCCATGTCTGTCTTCTTCTTGAAGATCCATTTGCACCCAACTGTCTTACGACCTGGTGCACTATCAACCAAATTCCAAACTTGGTTGTCATACATGGACTTAATCTCGCTGTCCATTGCCTCTTTCCACTTGAAGCCTCTGGGCCTGCCATTGCTTCCTTATAAGTGATGGTTCATCTGTTACCAGTTGTCAATATGAATGTTTCACCATCTGATAAACGTGTTTTCTGTGTTGTCACTTATGAATGTGTCTACCATCTGAAGTAATACGAAAACCATATAACTCAGGTGGCACACTCACCCTAGTGGATCTTCTAAGAGGTAATGAGTTATCGATTGGTTTTCGACTTCACACTCACCAGATGTGTGTGGGCCTGCCATTGCTTCCTTATAAGTGACTGGTTCATATACTCCCCGCCTCTATCGGATCTAAGTATCTTTATCTTTCTGCCCAATTGATTTTCGACTTCATGCTTAAACTCTTTGAACTTTTCAAAGTTCTTGACTTATGCTTGATCAAGTAGATATATCCATATCTGCTAGAGTCATCAGTGAAAGTCACATAGAATCGATTAGCAGCCTCTTGTATTGATCTGAAGGGGCCCACCACATCTGTGTGTATGGAGATCTAACAGACCTTCACCTCTTTCACAAGACCTGTGAATGGTGATTTTGTCATCTTTCCCAAAAGACAAGATTCACACATATCATCTGACTTTAGGTCAAATGATTCCAACACTCCATCCTTTTGGAGTTTGGCTATGCGTTTCTTGTTAATGTGTCCAAGACGACAATGCCACAAGCATGCCTTGTCTACACTATTAGACAAGTCAATATTAAGTACACTATTTCCTAGGCTATCAACACAAGTCACTGTTTCATACACACCATTACAAGGCAAAGCTTCAAACAAAAACACCATTCTTATAAACAGAAATTGAACCATTCAAATCATTAAAAGAATATGTAAAACCTTGTCTGAACAATGCATGAAATGAAATAATGTTTCTCGTCATCTCAGACGAATAGCAACAATTTATTAAATCTAATCTAACATCATTACTAAGCAGAAGCTGATAAACTCCGATCTTGGTTACTGGTGAAGACTTTCTGTTTCCCATGATCAGGTTTATCCTTCCTCGCTCTATCTCCTCACTTTCCTTTAGACCCTGCAAATCAGAACAGATATGAAAACCACATCCTGTATCAAGGACCCATGAACGAGAAGATAATGAGTTATTAGCAGAAATAGTGTAAATACCTGCCGAAGATGGCTTCACTTTGCCATCCTTGATATCTTGCAGATATTGTGGGCAAGATCTCTTCCAATGCCCCTTTTGGTTGCAGTAAAAGCAAACTGCCTCTTTTGGATCAGAAACATGGGGAGTGGAACCATTGGGCTTAGCCTTTGGGCCATTACTAGATGACCCAGCTTGAGCCTTGCTCTTCCAGTTTTGCTTGGGAGGACCTTTCCTCTTTTTCCCCTTTCCCTGTCCAATAGCCAAAACAGGGGCACTCGTAGGTGTGGAGGGTATACTTTTACCCTTCATCCCTGCCTCAGCTGTCTGCAACAAGTTGTGCAATTGGGCCAAGGTCTGCTCAGTATTGTTCAAATGGTAAGTTAGAATAAACTGACCATAACATTC